TGCCATGGGAGAACCCTCCACCAGTTCAGGAACCACACATTCCTCAACCACCCCATCAACCCCCATCACCACCTCATCAACCTGCTCAAAACCAAGAACCAGTAGAGGCAGAGATGTAGGAGGAGGAGCAGGAACCTCTCAATATAATCTTAGAACGAGTCCTAGAGTTCTCAAACCTAGACGGGGTAAAAGTATTTCTCTTTACGGAGATACAAGAGAAGAGGCACGTCTCAACTGCCCACTAGCATTATACAAATGCTCGATGGACATTAGGCCACCTCAGGATCCAACGGTGGGGAACAGGTCAATGATACTAGTACCAGCATTGAGAAGGAACCCAATTCTAGGAACTGTGAGGGAAAACGGGGAACCACCAAACCAAAACCATAATGTCTCTATGAATCGACCTACTAATATCATTATATGGAACATAAGAGGTGGTAATAATGAAAGTTTTAGAAGAAATTTCAGAGAAATGGTCGACACTCATAGACCATGCATGGTAGCCTTACTGGAAACTAGAATGGGTAGCCATGTAGAACTGCTCAATGACTTTGGATTTACAGAGATGATAGAGGTTCCATCTGATGGCCAGGCTGAAGGAATTGTGCTACTATACAACCACGAGGTGGTGACTGTCCAAAACTTTGTCCGTAGAAATCAAGAAAACTTTTGGCTTTTTTAGTACAATATATGCCAGTACTGATTTGTATAATAGAAATGCCATGTGGGGAAATCCAGAAAATATTAGTAGAAATCATATAGGCCCTTGGATGGTGGGAGGGGATTTCAATGATGTTTTTACTGCTAATGATAAATTTGGAGGCAGGCCTCTCAATGACTCTAGAGCCAAATTCCTTTGGTCTAAGATTAATAGTTGTAAACTCATTGATCTTGGATTCAAGGGATGCAAATTTACATGGTCTAACCATAGGCATAAGAATAAGGGTTTAATAATGTAAAGGTTGGATAAAGTTTTTGGAAATGATGAATGGATTGATTTATTCCCTAAAAGTTCTATAATTCATCTTCCTAAAACTTACTCTGATCACAACCCTATCCTAGTAGAACTAGTACCTAGAAATAGATCTCTCCATAAACAACCCTTTAGACTAGAAATGTTTTGGTGCAAATACCCGGAATTTCAATCATTATTAAAAGATAATTGGTGTGACCCAGACTTCCTTAGAGCTAGTCACAATTTTGTTCAATGCTTAAGATAATGGAAAGCTAGAACGTTTGGTGATATTATGGGAAAAAAGCGTAAATTGTTAGCTCATCTAAATGGTATACAGAATTCAAAAAATTATGCTACGAGCATTTTCATACAAAACCTTGAAAAGGACTTAAAAAGAGACTACAATGATCTTCTATTAATAGAGGAAGATTATTGGAAAATTAGATCTAGGGTTATGTGGTTAAATGAGGGTGACTCTAACACAAAATTTTTCCACATTTGTGCCTCAAATAGGAAGAGACGTAATAAAATAAATTTTTTCAAGGATGATGCTGGAAATTGGATCAATGATCCCCTATTAATTATGTCTTATGTCAAAAAACTATTTTGAAAATGCTTTCACTACTTCTCATAGCATTACTAGTAGGAAAAACCCTCTAAACCATAGTTCAAATATTGGCCAGGTTAACCTTAGTGCATTAGATAGACCCTTGCAAGAAATTGAAATTAAAAGGGCTACTTTTTCTTTCAAGCCTTTTAAAGCTCCGGGACCAGATGAACTCCACCCTTTTTTTACCAAAAATATTGGAGTATCATAGGCCCTTCAGTTGTGAAGCTTTGTCAGGACATTTTTAGCACCCAAGTAATCCCCCCAATTATTAACAATACCTATCTTTGTCTAATACTCAAAATTCCAAATGCAAACAACATTAGGAATTTAGGCCAATTGGACTTTGTAACACCATTTACAAAATAATCACAAAGGTTCTAGCAAATAGGCTAAAATCATTCCTAGATCGCCTAATTAGTCCCTTTCAAGCTAGCTTCATGAAAAATAGACGAGCTTCTGATAATGCCGTCATTATCCAAGACCTAGTTTCAAACCTAAAAAATTAAAAGGAAAACAAGGTCAAATGATCCTCAAAATTGATTTGGAGAAGGCTTTTGATCGTCTTGAGTGATCCTTTATACATCATACCCTTCAGTACTTCAAATTTCCACCCAAATTCTCAAAACTTCTATTAAATTGTATTTCAACTTGTTCGATTGCAGTCCTAGTGAATGGCTCCATTACAAACTCTTTTGAGCCAACTAGGAAAATTAGGCAAGGGGACCCCATCTCTCACTATATCTTCGTCCTTTGTATGGAAATGCTTTCAAGATATATAAACCATCAAGTTGATATAAGGAATTGGGATCCAATAACCACGGGGAGGAAGTGTCCAAATTTTTCCCACTTATTCTTCGCAGACGATCTCACTTTGATGGCCAAAGCCAATGAAAAATCATGCCACACCATCAAGGGAAGTCTAGACTATTTTAGTACTATTTCAGGACAAAAAATTAACCTTTCCAAATAAAAAATTATGTTTTCAAAAAATTGTCCTAAATCTATCATAAAAGATATTACTCACATACTAGGTATTAAAAAAAGTGAGTCATTTGGTACCTACCTAGGTTTTTCAATCTTAAATAATTTCCCTAGGCCAAGAGACTACCAATTCATTGTTGAGAAAATGAGATCGAAATTAGCTGCTTGGAAAATAAAATTCATTAATATAGCTGGTAGAACAACGCTCTCACATTCTTATTTAAATTCAATACCCAACCACTATATGCAATATACCTTACTGCCAAAAAAGATCCTTAATAAAATCGAAAAGGTGCAAAGAGATTTCATCTGGGGGTCTACAAATGAGAAGAAAAAATTCACCTCATTAGTTGGTCTACCATTGCTAATCAAAATCAAATGGTGGTCTAGGTATCCATAGTGCTAATTCAAAGAATTTATGCACATTAACTAGTATGGTTTGGAGAATGCTCACCAATCCAACCTCTCCTTGGGCTACTCTAATAATCTCTCCCTATGCTTCTAGTAATGCTAATAATAAAAAATTCTTTTATTTGGAAGAGCATTAAAAAGGGTTGGGAGTCATGCTCTAAAGGAATCACTTGGTCCCCCCACATCCTCTCTAACATGAATATATGGAAAACTAATTGGATCCCAAGTATAGGAAGTCTTAGAGCAACAGTGGAAGGACCACTCCAAAAAAGAGATCAATCCTTTAAAATAAACGACTTATTAAATGGGGAAAATTGGGACTTTGATAATCTTTCCCTTATGATTCCGAATAACATTAAGGAAATTATTAGCAAGGTTAGAATTCGGCTAAAGGGCCCAAGAAGTGACATTCCTATATGGTCACTAACTACTAAAGGTTTTTTCACAACCAAATATTGCTTTAACTTACTAGAGCCTCCAAAGAACAACCTTCTAGAGTTCCAATGGGTTTGGAATCTTAATTGCCCCAACAAAATAAAATTCTTTTTGTGGCAATGTCTCCATAATAGGATTTCTTGTAGACAATATCTGGCAAGAATTGGTTTAAACGTAGATCCAATGTGTCCGATATGCAGAAATAACGAGGAGGAATCTATACTCCACATTTTCTTTAGCTGCAAGGCAATCAAACCTTTTTGGGATAAGGTTGGGTGGCACCACTACTACAAAGTATCAGGTCATCATTGGCTAAACCAAATGAAGTCTTTTAACTACCCAATTAGGAATAATTTTATAAATTGGGACCTCTTCTTCCCTTTCATTATATGGTATGCTTGAATAAATAGAAACAATAACAATCAAAATAACACGACTTCCTCAATCAATGGTGATTTTATTATTCAAAAGGCTATTTAATATAAACTCCTCACTGAAAAAAGCATGTTCACTCCTCCAAAAATCCACATTAATATTGCATGGCACAAACCACCGGAAGGATGGACTAAGCTTAATATTGATGCTAGTTTTGACAATGTTACACGAAAATGTGGATTGGGTGGTATTTTCAGGGATGCCAAAGGACACTGGATTGTGGGATTTGGTAAACCATCATATGCAGGTGGATCACTAGAAGCGGAGTTAAAGGCTCTACTAGAGGGACTCAAAATGGCTAAGGAATGGAGATTATACCCGCTTGTAATAGAGTCAGATTCTGTGGAGGCTATCCAATCTATCTACAGGGTAATAGACTATATGATGATATTGTTAATGAATGCAGGTGGTTAATGCACCAGCAGAAGGAGATAATCCTCCAGCACACATTCAGGCAAGGGAATAATGCAGCTCATCACATGGCAAGAAAGGCTAAGGATCAATTGGAAGGCAAGAAGACTTTTGTTGAAGCTCCACCTTATGTAAAATATTTTGTGGAAAAGGAACTACTAGAACATTGTATTTTTGTTAAACCTCTATTTTATGATGCTTCTCTAGCAAGCCTAGGTAACCAAAGTGTCTTTAGAGACACCAAGTATGCGAATAATATACTAAACCCTCCTTAATTACTAATATATATATTTCCTGTTTGCTAAAACAAAAGTTAGTGTTACTACCATAGTTAGAATAGTATTAGTCCGGCATGACGAAGGCTCAAGGATGACAAATGAAGTGGGTTGGAGCGGAAAAGTCTTCTCAACCATCGTCTTGATCCACTCCACTCTGTCCATTATTTTGAATTTTCTTCTAAATACCTTTTTTTTCTTTTTTCTTTCTTTTAAGTACTAATACTCATGTTTTTTTTTTAATTCAATTCTTTTCTTTTACCCCTTACAACTAAACCCATTTCGTGCCGTTATAGTATTAACTACTTTTATTCGAAATTTTATCGAATTAAATTAATTTTTTATTTTCTCAACCCATTTACAATCGACCCCACAGATGATTACACTCTGTGGGGTTGGTTGGTTTCAATCACGCGCCAAAAACATAGCAAAAAGAACAGTTCTCCATAGTTAGCGGTGACTTTTAGATATTGTAATGTTTTATTTTTAAAAGCAGACATAATTGGAAAAAGACAAAAAGAAAAAGAAGGTAGACGAAGAGGATCTTTGAGGTCCTCTGCTTCTCCTTCTTCTTCTTTCTTTTCAAACCACAATCATTTCTCAAGAGTTAATTACCAATTTATTACTCATTCATCTCAATAATCTCATACTACCCTTTTATCTTTGGTCGTATTACAAACTCTTTAATTATCTTTTTTGGAGAATATCAAGAAACATAGATTATTTCTGGTAATTCTTGGTATGTTCCTCATTATTTCATTGCTTTCTCTTGTTTGTATGTTTTAATAAGCTAATGGTCAATTATGCTTTCGATATGCTAGTCTTAATTGGAGAATGGATATATTTCTTGTTTAATTGTGGAATTTAATATTTGATGATTGGTAATGCATGTTTTTCCTTGTATGTATTTGCTCCCTTTTGACTGCTGAACTATATGCCAGGAAAAAGAGGAGCAATGTTTTCATATCGGAAACATTATCTTTAACTAATGCCAAGTTTAATTCTTGTTGTTTGTGTGTGGTGGTGGGGGGGGGGGGGGGGTTAGCTGATTGTTTCTGACTTTGTATTCCAAATTATTATTATTCCTTTTTTGTCTAATCATGATTTGTCATCATGTTTGTGGGCATTAATTGATTTTTTGGATAGACTGTGGGTATTAATTGTTTAGCATGTTTGACATCCCTATTTGATGAGACCTTATTGTGTTTTGTTGATAGGGAAGTTGTAACTTATCTCGTGAAAAGGTTAACATTATTTTGAACAAAAAGCTAAAATGAAAGGAATAAAAAGATTTATGCGGAGGTTAATGAAATGTAGAGCTTGTTGAGATATTAGTAGTCTTGTTTATGGTTTTAATTCTACGAGAATGATAGTATTGGCCTTCTTTACGGTCTTTGATTCACTTGCCATATATGTTTGTGTCATAAGGAGCTGAATTGCCTTGATTATAATGTTGGTTAAACGATGTCAAACACCAGATGCTGTCCTAGTGATTTTCTCTGTCTACTATTGATATCATGTTTTTCTGTCGCCTAAATATATTTAATTACGAGATTTGATGCAACATCACATCTTTAATATAACATTGTGCAGAGTTTTGAGTAACTATAAAGCGCTAACCAAGGACAAGACAGATGCTCTAGACGAATAACTTCATTAATCTGGAATTTGACTCTCAATTGGTAAAATGATCGACTAGCTGCTTAGAGTGTAGGCCTTGGATATTACTAATACATTGGGTCGATTTAATCGAGTTGCAGTTTGAGCTACCAAATTTTTGTTTCTGTATTACTACACTATGAAAGTGCAGAAAAGTTGCATCTCTAAACTAGCTAATTTTTTTTTGCTCCTGTTGGTGTATGGTTGAGCGTGCTAACTGATATCAGCATCACTGACTAAGTTAGTTATCATTCTGCATTACTTTAGAGCTACACGGCATTATCTAGGTACTTGTAGTTAGTGCTCGTAACATTTTTATTATTAGCACTGTACTAGTCGTGCATTAATTTGCTGGTGAAGTTTCCTGAAGTTCATGATTTTGAAATTATCTGCCACAGTGATTACTGAATGAAGAATCTTTTGGATTGATGGAAAAAGGAAGATCCATTTTCTATTGTTTCCCCCAAAGAGTTGATTTTTGTAATCACTTCCCAAATTTGGGGGCTCCAAACGATAACTTGTTGCAGTCTATGTCCATAAATGTTAATGAGTGTTTAAACTACTATAAGGGTTTAAGTGTCCTAAGCAACAGCTATTAACCACATAACTTCTTTTCAATAAAGTTTACTCTACAAACTCGAATTTTATCACATCGGAAACCTGAAGGGTGATTTGCTTGTCTCTACTTCTATGTTTTCATCAGTATTTCATGAAGAAATTTGCTGCACGAATTGAAATGCAAAGCAACTAGGCGCTGACTGCTATTTTCTTAGTGCATCAACCATACCTCTACCATGTGTGCTAGTACAAATTTGTATAGTTTACATTTCAGGTATTTCATCCTATAGTTCTTTCAACCTGTTGAGTTTGATGTTTGATGGAAGTTTCGTATAACATCTTCCTATTATGTGGTGGTAGTGTTGTGAGAAGTGTCTACTAATTTTGGAACAGAACTAAAGTTTAGAGAGTATCTTTAAAGGTTGCTTGATTTTCCTGCTTGGAGCAAACAGAGGAAGAACATTTGGTTATGCGGAAACCTGATATCCTATAGAAGATGGCTCGTTGGGAGGGGGAAAAAAACAGAAGTTCACAGAGCTTTTTCTTTTAAAAGGTTCGTTGTATCCCCCGTAGGAGCATATACAATTGGAGTGTTTGGTTATATGGGAAAACTGAAGTAAGCCTTAGAAGTTTAGGCTTTACATGGCCATTCTGAAACTAGGATTAATCTCAGTATGGAATGATATCTCCTTGATGAGAGTGCTGAAGAAGAGGAAATTAAGGATGATAATCGGTTTCACAGATCTATCTTCTCTTTGACGTTGATTGGCTACTTTTTCATTTGTCTTTATTCTAGTTGGCTTTGTGGGCTTTCTTTCTCTGAGTTATTTTTTGTTGAGGAGGGAGCAAGAGGGCACTGCTGTGTATCTTTTTTATTACATCCATTGCATGTATATGCAGCGAGTCGTGGACTGCTACTGGATCTTAAATAACCGGATAAACAGTAGGGACTGTACCTCTTTCGTGTGATCTTTTATTCCTCCCTTTTATGGTTATTCATAGATGACAGCATTAGGGAAATATCATGAATCAGGTGGTACATATCTTCATTTGATAAGTCAAAACACTGCACTTGCGGACAAAGAATTTACTGATTGTTTGATTATCAACTCCCTGTTACTTCTCTGTTTGACATTAAATATCTTGTTTGGCTTCACTTTATTCTTTAAATGAAAACTTTACCTCAGAATTCTTTAGTGAGAGGGGGTTTTAAAAAACCTTACTTGATGGGAAGTGGCCCTCATGTGAGATGGTAAGATTCTTTTTGGTTTGTTTTTGCTCGCAATGTAAATATGAGATCCCTTTAACTAGTGAACAAAGGACAAGTTCCATTTGTGAAAATAGCATGAATGCATGATATCGATTTTGGTAAGGAGGAAGTCAGTCGAATACTTAGTAATGCATGTTGCACCAAAAATTCGCAAAAAGGTTAACCTCTTTTTTTTTGATTCTGACTAGCAATTCTCAATTGGAAGAATGACCATGTAAAGGCTATAGCATAGAAACTTTGCAATAAGTGATCGTAATATTACAGAGGAAATAGTTGCAGTTGCTTATGTTTAAGTTCTCCAGTATGGTCTTAAAGAACAGCTGTTTGATATCTCCAGTTGTATAGTTCACCTCCTGGTAAAATTTGAGGTCTTTGTTTACTGTAAAGAGGTTATCTCCAGTATGGTCTTTGTTTACTGCAATAACCTCACTTTCTTTTTTTGCCAATATTAATTTTAGGTTCCCAAGTGGTTCGCCTCAGCTCTTAATTGGAAATGGAAGATGCAAAAGATATGAAGGAAAATTCTCCCCAAGAATCTGCTCCTGAACCTAAAGTTTCTGTTCTGTGGGAGGACCAATCACATGGTGAAACTCAACCTAGGCAACATATGAATGGAACAGCAAATTCTGAAATTCAGGAGACAGACGTGTATGCTTCTCAACATTTGAAAGAATCTTCTGACAGATTTCCAACGGAAGATAGTCAAAATCATCAGCCAGGAAGTTTAGGTTCAGCCTCTTCCATTAAATCCGCCGGTGCAGGTGACATTTCGAAAACAGGAAGTCTTCAATCAGCTGTGCCGACAGTTCAGGGGGAAGCCTCACCTCAATTGGTAGAGGATCTGAAATCATTGGAGCCTCCAACAGCTCTCTCGGAACCCACTCCATCATCTGTATTAGATACAAAAGCAAGTGATTCATTGCAGCAGTCACTGGATGGTGATTCCAGTGGTAGTCTTTCGAATCAACCAAATAATACTGCTGATGGACCAAGAGTAGAGGAAGTTGCTTCACCTTTAGTAACCATGAATTCAGACTCCCCTCCCCTGAAAGAGGAAAACCAAAAAGGATCTTCGGTACACAACTCACTATTTCAGCAAGATAATTCTCCAAGTAGTACTCACGTTTCTACTGATACACCTCCTTTATCCTCTCAAGAACACAAACCTGAAAATAATATTCATGTAGAGGCACCTAATACTGGTCAGCCCCTAGCGAAGGCTTCCAATCTCACAGTTAAGATTCTAGAACCCGGTTCTAAGCACCCTGAAAACATTGATATTAACAGAGTTAAAATCGACACAGCTGCACCAATTGAATCTGTGAAGCAGGCAGTTTCCAAGTTTGGAGGCATCGTTGACTGGAAGGCTCATCGAGTACAGTCTGTAGAGGTAAGCTCTTGAACCCTTACTATACTGATTGATTCTGGAATCAGAAATCCATTTAGCTGTCAGTTAAATGGGTGTCTCGTAAGCAACTTTAGACGATTATATTTAATTCAGCATTGCATGTGCAAGTCCACCTGGATAGTGCACTATAAGCAGTGGCTGTTTAGATTTTATATACATTTTACATCTTCCTCACCTGTACATATTTATCTTTTGAACATCTCTCGTACTATGAATTTCACAACTTAGCCTTTCATTTCTGGCGAATGCAGAGAAGGAAAGTTGTCGATCAAGAACTAGCAAAAGTGCAGGAGGAGATCCCACTGTGTAAGAAACAGTCTCAGGCAGCAGAAGAAGCAAAAATGATGGTATTAAAGGAACTAGATAGTACTAAAAGACTGATAGAAGAGTTGAAGCTGAACCTGGAGAGAGCACAAACAGAAGAGCAACAAGCAAAACAGGACTTGGAACTTGCCAAGCTCAGGGTAGAAGAGATGGAACAGGGTATTGCCGATGAGGCTAGTATTGCAGCCAAGGCGCAGCTTGAAGTTGCTAGAGCCAGGCATGCAGCTGCAGTTTCGGAGCTAAAAACTGTGAATTCCGAGTTAGAAGATCTTCATAAAGAGTATGATTTATTGGTGTCTGAGAGATTTGATGCTGTACAAAAAGCAGAGGAAGCGGTTTCTGCCTCAAAGAAAGTTGAGAAGGAAGTGGAGGATTTGACTATTGAGCTCATCACTACAAAGGAATCTCTGGAGGCTGCACAAGCTGCACACCTGGAGGCAGAGGAACACAGAATTGGAGCAGCGATGGCAAGAGAGCAAGACACTCTAAATTGGGAAAAAGAACTAAAGCTGGCAGAAGAGGAGCTTGAGAAGCTAAACCAGCAAATACTGTCTGCTAAGGATCTCAAAGCAAAATTAGATACTGCTTCAGCCTTGCTACTAGATCTCAAAGCTGAGTTTGCTGCTTATGTGGAATCAAAGTTGGAAAAAGAGATGGATGAAGGCGGCAACTTCAAACGCGAACTGTCAGCGCCAGAGAAACGAACTCATGCTGAGATACAAGCAGCGGTAGCCTTGGCTAAACAGGAACTTGATGAAGTGAAACGCAATATTGAGAAAGCAACAGTTGAAGTAAATTACTTGAAGGTGGCTGCAACTTCATTGAAGGCAGAACTGGAAAAAGAAAAATCAGAACTAACTGCTATCCAGCAGAGAGAAGGCATGGCATCAATTACTGTAGCATCTCTTGAAGCTGAGTTGAACAGGACCAAGTCAGAGATTTCCCTTGTGCAGATAAAGGAGAAAGAAGCAAGAGAAAAGGTGGTGGAGCTTCCTAAGCAATTGCAAGAGGCCGCCCAAGAGGCTGATCGGGCAAAGTTACTTGCACAAACAGCTCGTGAAGAGTTGAGAAAGGCAAAGGAAGAAGCAGAGCAAGCAAAGGCAGGAGCAAGTACCATGGAAAGTAGACTAGTTGCTGCTAAAAAGGAGATAGAGGCTGCAAAAGCTTCTGAGAAGTTGGCACTAGAAGCCATCAACGCTCTGCAAGAGAGTGAATTAGCTCGAAGCACCAATGATGAAGATTCCCCATCTGGAGTAACACTCTCTCTGAAAGAGTATTTTGACCTCAGCAAAATGGCCCATGAGGCAGAGGAGGAAGCTAATAAGAGGGTGGCTGCCGCTATCACCCAAATAGAGGTAGCAAAGGAATCAGAGCTGAGAAGTTTAAGCAGGTTGGAGGAAGTTAATCGTGAGATGGCTGATAGAAAGGAAGCTCTGGAAATCGCAACCCAGAAGGCAGAGAAAGCCAAGGAAGGGAAGTTGGCAATAGAGCAAGAGCTGAGGAAATGGAGGGCGGAGCATGGACTAAGACGGAAAGCTGGTGAATCTCTTCAACCGATAAACATAACAAGAAGCCCGAGATCGAGTGTTGAGGAGAGTAGAGAATTGAAAACCTACGAGCGTGCACCAGGGGCTGCTTCACTACATCATAGGTCAAGTCCAAGAGCATATGAACAAGCAAGTAATACTGAAACCGATACATCTCCAGAAGTGAAGATCCCAAAGAAAAAGAAGAGGTCCTTCTTCCCAAGGCTCTTCATGTTTCTGGGCAGAAAGAAAGCACAGGCCAAGACAGCATGATGCGCTTTGTGGTTTTAAAATGGCTCATCATTTTAAACATTGTTCCTCCATTTTCTGGTTGTTTGTCCTGGGTGACATAGTGTAAATTCTCACTGCTTTTCTGTGTACATGCCGAGTATTATTTCTTGTACAATATCAAAATACTTCACTCACACTTTGGATGGCTGATTATAAAACAGAGTAAGGCTGTTATAGGTTTGGCTGCAAAAGTCAATAAATGATTGTGTAAGTAAATCGTCTGCTGCTTCAATTTGTCTAATCCTGGTAGTTCTGAAAGAAAATAGAAGAAACTAGCACTGTTTCTAAAGTTTGACCTAATAGAAATATATTGGTTCCCTGTGTTTCTTGGTAGTATGGATTGTATAATTCATATGTTGTGGAGTCTTTCGTATCATTTGGTATGTCATTCAATGTTAAAACACCTCAGATCAGAACTTTTTTCTTTTATCATTACCACAGTATTCTGCCAGTTTGAATCCATGTCCTCCACTTAACTTCATCCAATCCTCCTTGAATGTTGTAATCACTAGCTTCCAATGTGCATATTGCCCATTTAATCCGATGTTTACACCAAATCAAAGAATTTAACCTTTAACAGTCGCAAATTATAGTAAGAAAACATATCATGACTGGGTGATAATAGTTTATATGTAAGACACATGTATTGCACTTATTGTTTGGTGCGACCACTTTGTGTAAGTTTTTTTCCTCGTTGTGGTCTGAAGAACATCCTCAGATCACCCGGTGTTTGACCTTTGTGTTGAAACCATATGATACCATCTTCTGTTCTGTCCAGGAAACGATTGATACACATGAATTCTTACATAATGTTGACTTGCTTCACTAAGTAGCCTTTATATGAACACATTTCAGTATGTCATGAAACATATATACTCTTAATGATCAAGAATTAGATGCAGAAATGGTTTGGATAATTGTTTTGTGCCATGGATTGGAGAGATGCTCGACCAGATTATCGATAGGACCAACATGGGTAACAGAAGCCTGGACAAAGATGCCAAGCATAGCCACCATAGCTAGTCGTCCTACAAAACATAGAGGAAAGTATGAAAATTGGACAATAGTTGAAAGCACTAAAAGTGTGATTCAGCTGAACTAACCGTTTTTTATCTCTTTCAGCTTCCAGTCATGAGCATTCTCTATATCTCTTGCAATTCCAAGAGGATTCAGTAGAGGACCACCAGGATACCTGTTCAAAATCAAAGAGTTTTCCCTATACTTAGTAGCAGCATTATCCCATTCTCCAAAAGCAATGCAAAATCTAGAGTCAACGATGAGAGGCCGATTCCCCACCTTGTAATTTCCTTTCCCTACCCTTTTAAAAAAAACGAGTGTATATGTTTACATTTTAATTTTGTTAACATATATGTAAACTGTTTGAGTTGAAAGTAATAGATTCAACTTAACCCATAAAGCCCGTCATAGATCCGCCTCTAGCCCTCTACAGTTCTTCTCCTACTAGCAAGAGAGGAACCTCATGCCCAGGATAAACCCTTTTAATATAATGCTACAGTCAAACCTCTTTATAACAGTCTCGTTTGTTCCGAATATTTTTGGATGTTATAACGAAGTGCTGTTATAGAGAACATATATTATAACATGATATGAAAATTGGTTCTGAAAAAGCTTGGCTTTTATAGTGAAGTGTTGTTATATAGGGATGTTGTTATACAGAGGTCTGACTGTATAATGTTTTGGCCAACAATAAATGTAATTTACCCTGGTTCAAGGCCTTCTAGTGCAGCTTCTAGCCCAAAGAAGGATCCAGGTTTTGCTTGAGAGCCAGGGTTTAGAAAATCCATGTACCTTTTTGTTTCAACGAACCTATACAAAAAGAAATCAGACAGAGGTAAAGTTATTGCCAGCTACTTAAAATATAGTCTTGAATCAACATTGATAAACCTTTTACCCCATCAATAATAGTTGAATAATGAGCAGAGTTCTTGTGCTTGCAAAATCAAATTTTGTAGCTCCCGCTTCATACCACACTGGCAAGTCACTTATTCCCGTCACTCGTAGCAACTACAAAGAAAATCCCAAAAATGAGCTAAAGTCTTGACATTTTACAGAAACCAAGTGAAAAAGGATTAGACTTTAACATAATGATGAAGTTTTAAATGCCATACATCCGTATAAAGAATTCCAGCAACCCCAGCCATGGCGAAACGGGCATGAACTAGTTCTGCTTGTACATACCATCTCAAACTTTCAGGATCCTCTCCAAGTCCTAGTGGATCAAACCCAAAATCTCCAGCAAGACTACCAAAAAAAAAAAGGGTCATCAACTACGTATGCAAATTCATTTCTCATAGCAGGTTGAATAAATTGGCAATTTCCTCTGCTTCAAGCCTTAGGAACGGATAAACTCCCGATAGGCTCGAGTAGATGGTTAAACAAAAATAATTTATCCAAAGGCGAGGATGTTGCTTACGTTCCATCAAGATAGGGTGGAGGGTCAAGCCCAGGAAGCCATGTTGGTCTTTGCTGAGCTCGAAGGACACTTCTGCACTGCCTTAAAGAATGTCCTGTTCTAGCAGGCCAATTAGTGCTTTTCAGAGCTACAGAAGTTTTACATATACTCTTTCCATGAAAAGATGAACCAGAGAATGCCAGAATTTGGATGTTTCTTCCAACTGCAATGTCCATATCTTATTCTTTATCAACTTCCCACAACAAACTCAATTGGTGGGCAGTGGTCATGTGGGAATAAGCAAATGTCCATACTACAAATGATATCCAAATGTTTGCTTTTCAGCGTTACAAATAAGATAGAAAGGGGACCCCAGTTATCCCTTTTCTTCACAGCCACAAAATTTTACCAATAAACGTTGCTCAGTGTGTAAATAAGTTCGTTGTTAAAGAGATATGTGTTTACCCTCGAATCCGGATAACAATTGAATTTATATGGGGTTTTAAGGATCCGTGAACTAAAAGATACAAAAGGTTTTTAGGTTAAGGAAAATAAAGATAAAGACTCAACAATTGCTGTTAAAGTAAATAATCGCAGAATATAATATTGCTTAGAACAGTTGTGCTTGATGCCCCTCAAGAATTTAGAGAGATCCCCCTTTATACATTCTGATTAAGGGTAAAAATAAGGTAGGTCAATTGATTACATCGTGGATCCCTGTAATTACGCCTTAATGGCCTGAAGTGGTTGAGAAAATCACGTTTGGGCGAGATATCCGGCGACGCTTGGTTATCCGTTACGAGTCCGGCTTCCGACCTTGTGTGTTTCTCCATCCGGTGGTGACTCCTATCGAGCTCTGTAACGGTCTCGAAATGACTCGACCTCGGTTGTAGACGTGGCCGTCGTTTTACCTTGCATCCAGGTCGGGTTCGATGGCCCCGATTTGCTCCGGTCCGGACCCAACCCGGTCGGGCTCAAGCAAAAAAGGGTATCACCTAATACAGATAGTCCCCTCGTTTATTAGAGAGTAATGATAATAAACGATATGACCGGTGACGTGATGCCCGTGACGTATGGCCATACGCCAGGTGAAAAAGCCATCGAGTGCTCTGACCACGCCTGCTGCAGGCATTTAATGCTTCTCTTAATTATCTGTCGCTTCGTGTCTGTGGCTTCGCGATTCGTGCCACCGCCTCATGGAAAAAGTATAAACGACCCTTCCAGGTTCAGCATTTCCTATCTTTCTCAAATTCTGCGTTGGTTGTATTTTCTTTTCATCTCTTCGTAAAGCTTTAAGAAATGGCGAAAACTTCACAAAGTGTTCCTTCTAGACCAAGCTCGGCCGCGAGCCCCGCTAGATCTGATGAACATGCACCAGAACCCCCATTGAAAGCATTCACACCGACTGGTTGCTCGGTATCTGCCGACTTCCAGGTTGAAAACCCATCATCGGTCCCGGGCCGCGGCGAACCGGCATCGGANNNTCTTTTGCAAAGAACCAGTGTATTGTGATGCGTCAAGAAAGAGTATCAAAGAGCTCACCAATATCCTTAGCCCCACGGTGGGCGCCAAACTGTTTACCCTCGAATCCGGATAACAATTGAATTTATATGGGGTTTTAAGGATCCGTGAACTAAAAGATACAAAAGGTTTTTAGGTTAAGGAAAATAAAGATAAAGACTCAACAATTGCTGTTAAAGTAAATAATCGCAGAATATAATATTGCTTAGAACAGTTGTGCTTGATGCCCCTCAAGAATTTAGAGAGATCCCCCTTTATACATTCTGATTAAGGGTAAAAATAAGGTAGGTCAATTGATTACATCGTGGATCCCTGTAATTACGCCTTAATGGCCTGAAGTGGTTGAGAAAATCACGTTTGGGCGAGATATCCGGCGACGCTTGGTTATCCGTTACGAGTCCGGCTTCCGACCTTGTGTGTTTCTCCATCCGGTGGTGACTCCTATCGAGCTCTGTAACGGTCTCGAAATGACTCGACCTCGGTTGTAGACGTGGCCGTCGTTTTACCTTGCATCCAGGTCGGGTTCGATGGCCCCGATTTGCTCCGGTCCGGACCCAACCCGGTCGGGCTCAAGCAAAAAAGGGTATCACCTAATACAATATGCTCAACCAATAAAATCCACCAATCCCTACAATTTCTAAGATTATGATACTAATGAATGCACCAATCCGTTATACGCTGAAGCAATAAAATCCACTACTTTGAGAGACTCAGCATTCCGTTTCATTCCTGTTCTACTTAGGAGTAAAGATCATAACCCACTTAATATGTGTTGAGTGGAGATTATACTTCAGCAAACGGTGAATGACCTTAATAATCTGCTTACTTTGAATCTGTTGGTGAAAACATTTAGCAGGAATGATATTTGTTAATGGAGATTATGCACAAGAAAGGGTAAAGAAATAGCTTATCCTGTTGACTTAGGCACTATAGGTTTTAATGATTTGATAAAGGAACACGTGCATAAACCAGGTTCATAGATAGTGTACGCAGATCACAGTTGGGATCAAGCTTAAAGCATGCCGTGAAAGGGATAATTATAGGTGGTTTATTTCTAATAAACCGGGACAAAAAGTTTGCATATGTGATATTGATAAGGAGCAGGACTCCGTACATGAAGGGAACTCAATCCAAGATAAGGAAAGAGTTAGAGGTTGAAGTTAACCAGAACTCTTCCACCAAATAAGAGTAAAGTAATAGACTTATAGTTACTCTTTATTCACTAAGCACATGCTAAAGTTAAGCATGAATTGAGAGCAACTAGCAAGCCATTCAGTGAGCAATCCGTGTGAGATGCGAGAGTGCGATCCTGGCTACATGAACCAGATTGAAGAACCAGTTCCATAAAGAGTTTTACATGTCTGTCTTTATTTCTAGTTCAAAGTGTAGTAGGTGCTTTAAGTTGTACCTTTCAGCTTTCATTTGAAGCAAATGTACTAGGTATTTGAGTTATTACATTCAAGTTAGAGTTAACTTGAAGTGAGGACGAGAGACATGCATTATATTGTGTTCATTATTTCCTTAGATACACATATATGCCTTCTACCATGCTTGACTGTCGTTACACATTTGCCTTTTCCTTATTTGTTACTATTATATATATATATATATATATATATATATATATATATATATATATATATATATATATATATATATATGCCTTCTTTCTTGTTTGGTTGTTGTTAAATACATGATTTCTACCTTGGTTGATGTTGTTACATCTATGCCTCCTATCTTGTTTACAACTATTATCTACATGCCTTCTACTTTGTTTGTTACTATTATCTACATGTCTTTTACTTTTTTTGTGTTGTTACATTTATGTCTTCTACCTTGTTTACTGCAGTTACATCTATACGCCTTCTACCTTGTTTGGTGTTGTTATAAATATACTTGGTGAGAATGAGATAAACGTACGAAGGGTGTTGCCGTGCCATTTGATTAGACATATATACATATGCTTGGTGAGGATGAGCTAAAAGCATAAAGGGTGTTGTTGTGCCATTTGGCTTTGATATCTCGTACAAGTTTATTGAGAAATGGTTGGTTGTTATATTTTATCGTGCTCATTATTTCATTTATTTGAATCTTTCACTGTTACTTGCCTTTTCTCTTGTTATTTCTCTTGCTTACGAATTACACAGGTTTTACCAGTAAGTATCTTTTGACTTAAAAACGCCACTACTTCATCGAGGTTAGTCAAGATAATTAGTAAGTACATGGGGTCGGTTGTACTCGTACTACACTTCAGCACCATGCGTGCAGATAATTGGAACTTAGCTGCTACGGAGTTCGTGGGAGAGTATTGAGGATGTTCCAGCATTCCAGCTACAAGCTACCACCTCGTTCATGGTAGTTTAGGACTTATACTTCCGTTTATATAAATTTCAAATAGATGATGTCAACTTTCTTCTTATCAGAGTTGTATTCTTATTCTTAGTCGCTCATGGCTTGTATTACTAGTCCTTGGGATAGTTGTATTGATTTTCACTGTCACGCCCCAACGTCGGGAGGTGCGACCGGCGCCCAACCGAGTGACGCGACTGAGCAAGCCTATTAGACACTTTCTACCCAACTCATTATGATCAAGAAAACAGGTTATCATTAATTATACAATAGGAAGATTTTTGTAAATATTTCCAAATCGATTCATTTGTGACATCATTGATAAGTTTTCAAAATTACATACACTTTACAATCTGAAGGAACAAGGGTCCAAAACATAACATAATACACTGACCCTTCCAATGCCCATATACAACCCACATAAATGTCTACGGAGCCTCTAGAGATACAAAAGACAGTTATGATAATGCCGGCAATAAGGCCCCGACTATACTTCAAAATGTGGTAAGCATATATACAAAAGATGTACTACATGACCCCGGGAAGAAATGGGGCTCACCAAGTCTGCTGGAAAGATGATGACGCTGCACCATTAGCTGCAATCAATTGTCTGCTATGGAATCACCTACATCCATTTAAAGAATTAGCGCCCCCGACAAAAGGGACGTTAGTACTGTCAAATAGTACTAGTATGTAGAGCTAAACACCAATCTTAATAGAATGAACAACGAAACAAAGAGGAAGCAGTCATGATGTACAATAAGAGCTTCAAACAAATACAAAAAAAGCATCAAGTAAGGATCACATAGTTCTCGGTTCAATTTCCATCTTATTAGGTTCATAATCTTAGTTCCATGTGCCATAATTCACAATACCACCGTGTTCCTACACGGATTCCGATCTCAACCCGATCGGCTAGATCATCTCATTTGAGACATCAACCATATTCACAATTTCAATCAATCATTTCTAGCACAGTTACCACCATGTGTGCGGTGATGTTTAGCTTAAAGTATACATATTTTTATGTATATCGCCTCATATTTTAATCTTGTTTCGTGAATTTGGGATGTTAAATGCTATTATTTATATTAATTTGAAGTGTTTTTTACTTGTAGGAATGATTCGGGAGCAAGTGGGGGCGAAACGTGCAAGATTTGAGCTAAAACAAACAAAATCGGAAAAAGAGGCCATTTGGACACCACTTTGGAGTAAAAACACACACGGGATCGTGAGGAAGCGGAGAATTCTCAGTTTTCTTCATCTTTTCTAGTATTTTCAATTGATTCAACAATTATGCAATTGTTTGAGTACATCATGAGTGGCTAAACACCCATTGTTCTGGGGTTGTAATTTAGCCATGAATATTGTTGTTTGATAATAGCTTGACCTTGATTATAATTCACCAATATATGGTTGTTTCTTCAATTCTATGTTTAA